TCCTTCATTCATTTGTTTAGTCGTTCATATCCACCCCCTCACGCTCACACATCCATGAATTACCCCTCACACTTAAACTTAGCTCTCCCTCAATCACATTCATTCACTATGATACACACATAGGCACACATATATGCATATATAAATGCACCAGACTCCAACGCAAATTAACATGAATACTTGATCACTCGTGTCGTACTACTCATAAAGCATGCATTTGACAATTTGACATATCATATGACAAACAACAAAAATCCGGTGAATGTGAATTTACTATTCCGTCTGGGCTAATCAAATTCTTGGCAGCACTCAAATTGGGTCATCAAACAACGATGAGGATCAGTTCAGCTTTTTCTTATCCGACTTCTGATCCTTCAGGTTACCTGATCTCGATGAGGTATGATTTAGGTACATCCATAAGCGTGAGCTGGGGCAGTAGACTAATTATTAATTAAGTTAGGGAAAATGAAAGGGAAAACAGAGTGAGCATTGTCCTGCTGGTTTTGCTTAAGGCAGAAAGGAAGGAATTATGGGGTTTTCGAGAGTACAGATTGATTGTAGCTTAGCTGAGAAGGAAAGCCGTTTTCCACAAAGATGATATGCACTCTACGGGACATTTTCTCTGTTGCTTAGCCCAAATGGTGCTGCCGGAACTCTGAAGTACCCAATTGAGCTTGAGTTCCTTTAGAAGATTTTAGAACCCAAATAAGATCAAAACCAGAATCTTGTCCTTTTGAGCGGAACCTTTTACGTCCAAATCTCAATGAAGTTTTGTTTATCTCGGTTGGTTCAACTATCCACCATTGAAATATCAAGTGACGCCAGTATCTAAGTGAAGCATTTCCAGCAGAATAACTAACAAGACAGGATACGCTTCGAAGCCGACCGCAAAAGGCACAAGCTCACCGTAGCCATTAGGAAGACCAAGAAGATGTAGCCTCTATTCTGGTGGCAGTCTCCTCTCGCTGTACAAAAGTGGTTTACCACGTTTTCACAACCTCCTTTGTTGCCAGATGGACCTAGATGGAGGCACTTTGTCCGAAGGGGTAATGCTATTTTCCTTCATCTGACCATTGAATTGGTCTATTTCCAGAATGCGGCAATACCACGGCATGACGCTGAAAGTTATCATGGCTACTTTGACAGCGGACTTCGATCAAGATGCGTTAATCTAGGTCGCCTTGACAACAGGATCAAGTTGCAAAATTGGCGGCAAATCACTTCCATAAATTCTGAAGGCAATCGTAGACAATGAACCCGTCATATTTATCCAGAAATCCCCATTATATGTAAGTAGTTGGATTCGACGTCGGACTACCGCCTTCATGAGCTAAATCAAATTCCTGAGATTCACTGATCTTCGACACGTACTAGGCCGTATCTTGCACGAGTGGGTGGTAGAAGCGTCCACATGAGAAGGAGATGGTGATTCCTTTTTAGCTTCGCTATCCAGAATGGTCAAATAATTGAAGTGATCTGGACTGGGAGGCAAATTCCAGGATCCCGAACGAGAACTTGCCTATGGTACAGGCGTGTAGAAATTAGGAACAGTTTGGCTCCATCCAAACCGATAACGACCAGAACCGACTAACGCTCAAAAAGGCAAAAGTTGCCAAACGAGAATGAGTTCATCTGTTCGTGCTTGTTCGTGCCAGTGTGCACCCTCATGGGAATGATCACACCCTCCTCTCAATCAGGATTACAATTGTTGTCGTAAGTAAGTAGTGCAGTTTTCTTCTGTAGACAAGTAGTCTGAGTTTGTTCTCGCAACTTGGCCGTGGTGTCAGAGCGGCAGTGACAAATGCATCCCGTGTTCTTCCCTCCACCATTGACTTCCTGTTGCTGGGGACTAAGGATACCAAGGCCTACTAAAGCTGTCGACAACGTTGCCATTGAAACGTCTGTGAAAGTACCAAGTCAACTGTCCCATACTGTGAATAATCATGGTTCTACCTTGGCAGAGGACGCAGTTCAGGATGCATCTTTTAAGGTCTCTGTGGCACCGTTACCAAACCGTTTATTTGCCCTTTCAGTACTGAAACTATGGCATCACATGCCTACAAGCACTCAGCTTGTTGACATGACTGTTCTGTGAGACTCTTTTGTCATGCGACCGGGGGGTGGTAAAAGGTGAAGCGGTTTAGTTACTCCAACTTGCCTCCCACTCAGAGTTACAGCTAACTTGAGGTGGCTTGCTGGCCGTGGTTACCCATCGAGGTATGTCCAAATTGAAACAAAAAAATTCACAGTTTGTTGTAGTTTAGGGATGCCATTAAGTTTTTCGATTTAGTTTATCCGAAAACTGCGATCCTATCCCCAAACTCGGACCCTCTTCGCTCTGTTCTTAATGCTATATGATATATCCTATGGATTATCCCGTCACAATTGACTACAATAGACTGGCCTCCAAGATCCTTTCGATGAGTCAGCAGGTTCAATGTAGGACAGCTCTTGAAGCTGAGTTGTGTTTAGGCCAAGAGACAGAGTAACGCGTCCACCTCTGAACCAACTATTCACAGGTTAGAATTGTGACCGAGACAAAAACACACTTGTAAGCTACATTGTGAATTGAAGTTATTCATTGCAACCGAATCCTCCCCTTAGCTCGTCCTGAATGTTTCGGCTCTCACTGCTTAGATCAACCTCGACATCACATTTGTTACAAGCTGACCTTTGCTACTATCAGCCAATTGAATGGTTGCATACATTCATTGCAAAATTGTGAAACGAACCACCGTCTGGAGTATGCATAGAAGTTCTTCCTTCCACGGATCGCTACTCGTAAGTTTGCATATGCCCTTAGATGAGTCTCGTATCCGACAGAACAACAAATAAAATAAAACAGAAATTATCACCTAGACTTAGCGAAGCCAAAAGATCAGTTCGAGGGGAAATTTCAGTTAATAAAGAAACTTTGCAGAAAGACCATCGGTACAATTGAAAAGTATCAACAGAAGCGAGCACTTTTCATCATTTTATTCTGGTACATTTTGTGGGAGACAGATAGTGAAATACACCTTATACGAAAATTTGGTGTCCATAGCAAAAATGAAGGCAGCTCAGGATCAAGTAGAGCCTATGTGAGAATTGAATAGTTCTGTTTGTAAGATAATACCATTCTCTCTTTCACAATAGCTGCTTAACATCAAATAACCATGTGACAGTTTTTAGCCAGAGGGCTATGAATGATGCTACTATGTTTAGGATATGGCTTACCAACTGCAGGTTTTGTCTTGACAACAAGGGGAAGAATATTCCCATTATATTGATGAATATTAGAGGTTGATTTCCTCCTATTTAACCGTCCCCTATTTTCCCCACAGGCGATGACCTTGGCCTGGATGTGCTGGCTGTGCACAGGCAGGAGGACGGCACATTTGAGAAATACAATGTATCCATGTTGGGCTATGGCTTCCATGGAGACATCATTGTATCCAGTGACATGCTGCGATGGATGGGCCCCAGTCGTTACAACTGGGTCGGTGAGTAGACAGTTCACGTAACCGACAACATTTACCCATTCTATGTTCTACAACTGTTAATCAGGTATCCTCGTTCTTCTGACGGTGGGATACTGGTTCCGCAGTAGCATTTACTTCGCGCTAATCATACATTTTCCCATCTCCACTTGAATTGGATTGACAAGAAGACCTTGATATTTTGCGGAATTTCCCTTTACGATACTACATAATATCAGTGAGCTCTCCTCAAATATGGACTCTGATTTTGGCCCGGCACGACGATAAGTACCACCTAAAAAGAGAATTTAGTCCGAAACAGGCGGCTTGCTCGGTCTAACAGATATCTTCACCGCAATGGTGACGTTCACAATTCACTTTTCTTTAGGAAACTGGAGGAAAACCAACCTAAATGGATACAGTTACATTCTGCGGCATAGAATGCCGCCCCTGAGCAATTCAACTTTCTCTCTCTCTCTCTCTCTCTCTGTGAAGAAATCCATCTACCAGTCCTTTATAACCTTAAATAAAATAGGGTGAATACAGCTTTTTCATACTTATTTTAGTTTATTGTAATAACATATACAAGTTTGCGTCATTACCACTCCCCATACAAACATGTGATATGGGAAGAGGCTTGACCTTCCTTGAAATTCATGTTTGCCCCTTGACCCAGAGCCTAGCGTGTTGGAAATATGTCAGGATTATTCGCCGTGCAACCATAACCCCGGTTCAAGTCCCGTTGGGGTGTT